GAGGAAAGGAGGAAGAAAGGGAAGAGGCCGAGGAAAGGAGGAAGAAAAGGAAGAGGCCGAGGAAAAGAGGAAGGGAGGAGGAAGAAGAAGAAAGGGAAGAGGCCGATCAAAGGAGGAAGAAAGGGAAGAGGCCGAGGAAAGGAGGAAGAAAGGGAAGAGGCCGAGGAAAGGAGAAAGGGAGGAAAGGAGGAAGAAAAGGAAGAGAGGAGGAAGAAGAAGAAGAAGAAGAAGAAGAAGAAGAAGAAGAAGAAGAAGAAGAAGAAGAAGAAAAGAGGAGAAGAAGAAGAAAAGGAAGACAAGAAATCTCAGTATGCACAGAAGAGATGAATAGAAAAGAAATATGTGGACATAACAAAAAGAAGTGATTACCAAGCAGGGAAGGAAGAAGGATGAGGAGAAGGAAGAAGGAAAATGTTTGGAGGAGAGAAAGATGGAAGAGGTGGAGTCACAAAAGGGGGAGAAGCTGGCAGAGGCTGAACGAGACAAGAGGACGGGGAAAGAAGGTTTCTGAAATTTCAATCTCAATAATGTCAGTGAGCAGTATTTCTTTTTTTTTCCCCGATCATAATAGAATTTGAGCATTCATTACTCCCTTCCATGTCATTCACACAGCAACGTCACGTCCTGCAGCTACGATTTCCATCTTGCAAATTTCTATTCGTGCAATGTAACAGCGCATGGTCGGTAGCAGTTACACATTAGCAGGAATCGCAGCAACTACTGTTTGTCCCACCCACTACTTCCAACACCTCCCAAGCCAAGCCAAGCCAAGCCAAGCCAAGCCAAGCCAAGCCAAGGCATTTGAGGTTCTGCAGTGTACTTTTTTTTTTTTATTCTAGTTCCGGATACACATGATTAAAAACCAACAGTTTTGTTTTTAACAAAACCAATAGTACTGGCAAGATATCCTGCATAAATACATATTACATCCGTATGGCCAATATGGGGTCTTGCAGCACAGGGTTGAATTCTTTTCCCAAATCAGTGCTTAAAAGATATTAGAAAAACAAACTTCACAAAACAGAATATCCCTCATAGGAAGTAAATTCAAGTAATCCATTGTCCTTTATATCATCGTACATAGTGAAAGGTCTTCCACGATTCAGACCCCAAATTCGAAGTTCAGAGTCTAACTTTCCAAACGGGTAGAGGTCCAGTCGGCCAGGTTCTGGAAGTTACCGTCAAATATCCCAAAGGTAAAGTCTGGCGGAGACCAGCTGAAGGGTCGTGTCCTGAGACTAAAATGCAAAAGTCGTTTTCAGAAAAGTCACAGTCGGATGGGTACCTTCGGAGTCAAGTCCAACAGGCACCAGGTAAACAGTCACATCCCAGAG